AGCATGGCAATTGCAGTGTCACAGACCAGGCATTCTACCAAACTGGGCTCATCGTGAGGCGTGCTGCAGCGCTGGGCCGCTACCACGACTCACTGCTCTGGTTATACTCCTCTTTCAACTCCTGTCTGTCTGTCTATTGACTATCCTTTTTGTTAGGTCTGTCCGATCCCAATTTTTAGCAATTGATTATACACAGAGGGTTTGGTAATCACTATCGATTGGTTACATTTGACAAATTGCTGCTCGTCAAAATCATAGCTACACTCCACCCACAGACACTCTCGCCCCACACTGACCCGCCCCATTTCGATTCCCCAACCTATATCTGACGTCTGAAACAGAGCCTAGCCGGCACTTTATCAAACCATCACACATGTGCCCAACTGACCGCCAGTTTGACACATCAGGAGCGCCTCTCAAGGTCGCCAGAGATAGTCTCGGATTCCCCAGGTGGTCGTCCTGGAGTGTTGTAACTCTGAAAAGTGCCCGCGGCGGCGCAGCAACGAGAGCGAGGACTGTGCTACTTAAGTGGCCAACGTGGGAGCGAGAGTGTACCATCTCGTACGCTCATGTGTGTGTAATAAGCGGGCTGTGCCGTGGAGGGCTCTGGGCAGAGCTAGTTTGATAAACTGCTCTTGCCATACCGGCAGTTCCCCAGCGGCGAGGGCGGACCACGTCTCGTTTCCGGAGATGAGTGAGATAGGCCTCCTCGTAGTCGTGTTGGGCGCCGGAATAGACGGGCTAAGGTCATACTCAGATGGTTTAATTTCAGTGGGCGAGGCCGACGAGGTAACGTCATGTGGACAGGACGGTGCCGTCCATGAACGCTTAATTACCGAGTTTTTTTTTCTTCTTTTTTTGGTCGGTAGCGCTGGTGTACCCCAGTCCCCAAGGCTCTTTACCCAATATGGTGGTCACTAGGGATTCCGAATATTACATACGCCAAACCAATCATAGTAATGCCCTCAGTTTAAGTTATGCTCATCTTTATCTGCGTGCGTTTTGTTTTGGCATATTCGCTCAAATGAATTGGTTGTCAGTCATCCTACATATGTACATTCCATCTCATTCTCAAATCCAGGTTCGGCTAATTTTCATGGTTGATGCTGCGCAACAAGGCATGCTGGCTTGAGGTCAAAGCCTCAATTTTCGGTAAAATTGCTCAGCATTAGCAATGAGGAAGCCTAGCCACAATTTGCGCCAGGAAGTCGTCATATGGCAACGACTTTAATTACTTCAGCGCTTAGCTTTGAAAATGGGTATGCAAGGATTCTAAACTCAATTTTATTAGTTCCTAAATGTAGGCTGAACTATATAGGTATGGAGTTTGCAGTTTAATCTATATCCCGTTCGAACTGAGTCTGCGTAGCATAAGCTATCGCATTTAATCAAAATGTTTTAAGTGAGTCGCATTACTTCAATGGCTGATTGTGCTGCCGTAGGGTGGGAGACGTGGGGGTTCATACGTGCATAAAGTTGCATTATATTCACATTCAGATTCGCGTGCACATTCGCGGACCCCTCAGATTTAGCTCAAAATTGCACAGCTTATAGATTTTGAGCTCCTGATTGCGAAAATCATGTTTTTATTTCACGCCGTCAAGTGGTTCTCAAAATATTCACATTTGTATTACTGCTAACATATTCTGGACCGTAACCCTTATTGGAAAAATCGGACCCCTCCAAATTTTTCAAAAACTCCTCAGTTGATGTAAACATAAGCGCTGATCCTAAAAAACTAGTTTGTACTTAACGCCGTCCCATAGTTTTCTCAGGATGAGCATCTAAAGTTCAAGGTCGTTCAAGGTCATGTACCTTTTCTCACCTTTTGCCGCTATTTGACACGTGACAGCTTTATATTTATGATGGACATTCGCACTTCCTCCTACAAAGACAATGTACTGAAATCGAAGGGGCGTTGCTGTACCAAAATGTAAAAAAAGCGTCAAAACCTCTTTCATACAGCTAACAGTTAAATACAAGGGATATTCGAATTTGCCACACATAAAGCAAACTTTTCGGACATGGTCGGACCCCTCCGATATCGTTCAAAATCTCAGGAATGATGCTCCTTGACCTCTTGAACATGAAAATGGTACTCCCTTTGAACGCCGTCAAGAACTTTTCCAGATATACGCATCCATGCACATTCAAATTACATAGGTGTTGCATATGGACGTTTGGCGGACCCCTCCGATTTCGTTCAAAATCTCAGGAATGATGCTCCTTGACCTCCTGAACATGAAAATGGCACACCCTTTGAACGCCGCCAAGAACTTTCCCAGATATACGCATCCATGCACATTCAAATTGCATAGGTGTTGCATATGCACGTTCGGCGGACCCCTCCGATTCCGTTCAAAATCTCAGGAATGATGCTCCTTGACCTCCTGAACATGAAAATGGCACTCCCTTTGAACGCCGTCAAGAACTTTTCCAGATATACGCATCCATGCACATTCAAATTGCGTAGGTGTTGCATATGCACGTTCGGCGGACCCCTCCGATTTCGTTCAAAATCTCAGGAATGATGCTCCTTGACCTCCTGAACATGAAAATGGCACTCCCTTTGAACGCCTTCAAGAACTTTTGCAGATATACGCATCCATGCACATTCAAATTGCGTAGGTGTTGCATATGCACGTTCGGCGGACCCCTCCGATTTCGTTCAAAATCTCAGGAATGATGCTCCTTGATCTCCTGAACATGAAAATGGTACTCCCTTTGAACGCCGTCAAGAACTTTTCCAGATATGCGCATCAATGCACATTCAAATTGCATAGGTGTTGCATATGCACGTTCCGCGGACCCCTCCGATTTTGTTCAAAATCATAGGAATGATGCTCCTTGACCTCCTGAACATAAAAATGGCACTCCCTTTGAACGCCGTCAAGAACTTTTCCAGATATACGCATTCAAATTCAAATTGCATAGGTGATGCATATGCACGTTCGGCGGATCCCTCCGATTTCGTTCAAAATCTCAGGAATGATGCTCCTTGACCTCCTGAACATGAAAATAGTACTCCCTTTGAACGCCGTCAAGAACTTTTCTAGGTATACGCATCCAAGCACATTCAAATTGCAATTTGAATGTGCATGAATGCGTATATGGTAATATACGCATTACCATATGCGTGGTAATGGTAATGCGTAAAATGGTATTACCATTTTACCATTATGCGTAAAATGGTAATACCATTTTCATGTTCAGGAGATCAAGGAGCATCATTCCTGAGATTTTGAACGAAATCGGAGGGGTCCGCCGAACGTGCATATGCATCACCTATGCAATTTGAATGTGCATGGATGCGTATATCTGGAAAAGTTCTTGACGGCGTTCAAAGGGAGTACTATTTTCATGTTCAGGAGGTCAAGTAGCATCATTCCTGAGATTTTGAACGAAATCGGAGGGGTCCGCCGAACGTGCATATGCAACACCTATGCAATTTGAATGTGCATGGATGCGTATATCTGGAAAAGTTCTTGACGGCGTTCAAAGGGAGTACTATTTTCATGTTCAGGAGGTCAAGTAGCATCATTCCTGAGATTTTGAACGAAATCGGAGGGGTCCGCCGAACGTGCATATGCAACACCTATGCAATTTGAATGTGCATGGATGCGTATATCTGGAAAAGTTCTTGACGGCGTTCAAAGGGAGTGCCATTTTCATGTTCAGGAGATCAAGGAGCATCATTCCTGAGATTTTGAACGAAATCGGAGGGGTCCGCCGAACGTGCATATGCATCACCTATGCAATTTGAATGTGCATGGATGCGTATATCTGGAAAAGTTCTTGACGGCGTTCAAAGGGAGTACTATTTTCATGTTCAGGAGGTCAAGGAGCATCATTCCTGAGATTTTGAACGAAATCGGAGGGGTCCGCCGAACGTGCATATGCAACACCTATGCAATTTGAATGTGCATGGATGCGTATATCTGGAAAAGTTCTTGACGGCGTTCAAAGGGAGTGCCATTTTCATGTTCAGGAGGTCAAGGAGCATCATTCCTGAGATTTTGAACGAAATCGGAGGGGTCCGCCGAACGTGCATATGCCACACCTATGCAATTTGAATGTGCATGGATGCGTATATCTGGAAAAGTTCTTGACGGCGTTCAAAGGGAGTACCATTTTCATGTTCAGGAGGTCAAGGAGCATCATTCCTGAGATTTTGAACGATATCGGAGGGGTCCGACCATGTCCGACAAATTTGCTTTATGTGTGGCAAATTCGAATATCCCTTGTATTTAACTGTTAGCTGTATGAAAGAGGTTTTGACGCTTTTTTACATTTTGGTACAGCAACGCCCCTTGGATTTCAGTATATTGTTTTTGTAGGAGGTAGTGCGAATGTCCATCATAAATATAAAGCTGTCACGTGTCAAATAGCGCCAAAAGGTGAGAAAAGGTGCATGACCTTGAACGACCTTGAACTTTAGATGCTCATCCTGAGAAAACTATGGGACGGCGTTAAGTACAAATTAGTTTTTTGGGATCAGCGCTTATGTTTACATCAACTGAGAAGTTTTTGAAAAATTTGGAGGGGTCCGATTTTTCCAATAAGGGTTACGGTCCAGAATATGTTAGCAGTAATACAAATGTGAATATTTTGAGAACCACTTGACGGCGTGAAATAAAAACATGATTTTCGCAATCAGGAGCTCAAAATCTATAAGCTGTGCAATTTTGAGCCAAATCCGAGGGGTCCGCGAATGTGCACGCGAATCTGAATGTGAATATAATGCAACTTTATGCACGTGGGGTTCATACACGATGATAATAATTTCTTATTGCTACCAGAGCCTTCACCAAACTCTGCGCGTGCTGACCGGAGCGCCCTGCGGAGATTTTCACACATAGTTGTTATGTAACGGGATCAGTCATCTTCAAACGGACAGCATTACCACGGAATGTATAGTCTACGACACGTCGTAGTCTACGACATGTCGTAGACTATACATTCCGTGGCATTACTACAAGCCATGTATAAAGCCACATCAGCACTTTTTTTGTTATGTGATCATGCTAAGTAAGCGATCCTTATAAATAAATAAGTGGGTACGACCTTTAGCGTGAATCGATAAACTGAAGTGACTTACTGATTAACATCTTAGCCTGTTGACAATTGGTGTCAATTCTTACATCGAACCAAATCTCCAAACCATCATAGACTGATGGTAGTGGGCTTATCCACTGGAAATGTATGTAATTACGCATATATCTCAAACCCATCTGGAGCTGTCGGTGCCTGGTGAGACTATTCATTCCAGCGAGTTGATCCGCCTGCCCGTCTCCCCTCCATCCCGGCCTGATGACGTCACCGTGGGCGCGGTGGCGGCCGTGTGACGTCACCAGGGGGTCCGCGGCGGGTTCTGGGTCAGCGATAGTGTCGAGCGGCCGGCCGCTCCAGCGGCGGCCTGCAGTCGGCCCGCTCACGTGAACCGGTCAACATGAGGTCCCTGGTGCTGCTCGCTGCCCTGACGCTGGCCACGGCCTCCCCCCAACAGGTAAGGCTGCCCGCGCCGCCGACTGCATGCCAGCCGGCATGACGCGCTTTATCGCACGCACGCACGCACATGCACGTACGCATATAATTGCATTTTGGTATCTTTTTTTGCAAGCACATTGTATTTATAGTTGTAAGAAGGGGACCGAAATCATTGCGCTGTAAGAAATGCAAATATTTATCAGCACGGCATTGTATTTTTACCATGCTGTTTGACGCCTTGTTTTGTCAAAATGCCAGTCATTACATTTGCATGAGTTTGTCCTCTGTTTCTTTGATAACTGCACAGTGCACACTGCACATATCGTGTCTAATTGCTTTTTTTGCAATTCAACGCATTATGCATATGATAAATTATAAGATTTTTTCGCCCTTTTTGTTTAAATGAAGCAAGCTGACATTTATCGACGCCTGGCATGTCCGCGTATTTGAGCTTAGCGCTGTCAATTGCGTTGCTTTTCGCATTCTTGTTATATACGTTTAGCAGTTTGATATTGTGTGAGCCTATGCATGTCACCAATGTAGCATGCAAACCTCAAACAGCACTCGCTGACAATACGCAATCCCGGACCACGTTTGAGCAACATATGTGACACCAAACCGAGCTAGTCAATAGGTGCCTTTCGTCATTGGGTTCAGCTCTGTGATACTCATTGAGCAGATGGCTTGTATTTCGAGAAACAACTGCCATTTGACTCAGCACGGGCCACTGCCTTCTTAGGATCAATTGTTCCTCTTATTTTCTACGTTTTTAAATCAAAAGTAAACCAAGTACTTGCTCGCCTGATTACATAATTTTCCCTGCTGTCTGTATTCAACATAAACTTGAACAGTTGACACAGCACATCACAACACATCCGCAGTATAACGCCGCTGACAGGTCTGACAAGTGACTCCTCATGTCTGAGGCTGTAGCTTGCCCCACGCCCTCGCAAAAACATCGCCGTCGCGCGTATAGCATGTCCGTTCTATTCAAACACGCTAACCAGGAACCGGGAGGACAAAAAGCTGTCCAAGCTCCGTGGTGCGCCTTGACCAGTCCTGCGCCGCCTCAGGTGCCCCGTTAAACACGACATGGGATACCTCGGGGCCAAGCTGGAAGTTAGTTCTCAACTGGCTTAAATTCAAGCTTCTCATTCCCAGAAGCTTTCCATTGGAAGGGTGTAAATATCTTGTAGTTACTTATTAATTCATTGCTCAAGTTTTTCTTTACAAAAACACATGCATTTTTGCATTTTTTCTTTATTAAAAAGAACTGATGCAGTTTTCAAATTCTATGTTTTTCTGCCTAAGACAACAAATAACGGCACATATGCGTCTCCCTCGTGATCACAACAGTATGCCACCAATGTCACCATGCCTATCACACAAACGCTGTATAGCTGCAAAGACCATTCGAAACGCCTTGTAGTTGTGGCCAGTCGAGCCCTTGCAACTTTTTACCCGGCCACCCCCGCCAGACATGAGTCTGTCATTGTCTCACAGCTAGCCGAGCTGAAAACTAGCTCGCGGTGACCCTGCCTCGCGTCGTTTCGGTTAGCGGCGCTTCGCGCTCTGGCAACAACAGATAGACGGTCGACCATGCCGTTTGTCGCGCTGATTTCGGCCAAACGCGACACTAAAACGCGACACTGTAAAGTGAACTGTTGCGCAACTGTGCGCTGTATCTCCACATACCACCCAAATTCTTGTCATGCATATAAATGATTGATGGCGTCGAACAGACGCTGTTCAATGCAAATCGTTTGTGGGACGTGCTGGGCAGAATGACTGGCTGGTATAGCCAATAGTCACGACCTACTCAGTCGTCTTTGGGACTAGTTAGACTCGTTATTTTCAGTCAGTGCTGCGATTCATTCATCAGGCACGTGTCCACTCTGGAATTGTGAGCGGAATCGTGTGCTGAAATAAAACGGCTCCTTGGATCATAATCTATCGAGTCCCGCCTGTCCTCCATTGACGGTGAAATTGTCTAGGTCATCGTTCTTGATAGTGAGAGGACGGTTGTCTAAATTAGTCCTCCCTGTAAAGAGAGATCGTCCTCAGGCCCAATACGAGCTGCCTAGTCATTGCGGGGTCAATGGTTTGTGGCTAAATTTGGAGAGTAGATGAGGTGAAATTATTGGAGCGTTTCTTGCTGCAGAATTCACGGCTCTCTGCACATCTATTGCTAAACACTAGATCTGAGACTGTTGTGTTGATGTTTGACCATCTGGCTAAATATATGATATGGCTGTGCCATTCCACGTCACGGTCGCTAGCTCACATCAAGTTGATTACTTTTTCTCCTATTAATTTCCATCTGAAATCAGAACATTCCAATGCCGTTGTTGCACACCATAAGCCCACTCTTGCAATAGTTCAATTATTTTTGTCCGTTGACTCTCTAAAAGTACCTATTGCGTGACCCCAATCATATCGGATAAAAGTAGCTGCCTTGGTTTTGTCTCAAGTTCAACTTTTACGTCACCTGTCCAAATCACATTTGCACAGTTCTATTCTTCATCCGTTAAAGAACCCGGCTGGCCTACTTCCAATGCGAAACCAGCGGGTGCGGCTCAGCCATTGAGTGGGATTAATCTCGCAGGTCACAAGAAACGTTTTATAACGAGCAGCGGCACATTCTAAAACCATTTCTTACCTACCCTTAATATGTCGTCTACCGTTGCATTTCAGTTATATAGCAGTGACATTTTTCATGGTTCATTGGAAATACAACCACGCTAACACTGGTCCATTTTAACAATCAACTCAATGCTGGATGGTGAACAGATGTCATTTTCCCATTCATTTTATGACCAGAAAAGCTTATGCATATAAATTCAATATCAAAAGCAACGGTCCCATCCCATTTATGTCCTCATGACTCCAGCGATTTCTCGGACGCTGCAGCCAGTTTTACTCATTTTTCCACGGGCGCCGCCGCTCGGACCGGCCCGCCCAGCGCAGCCACCGGCCGGCCGATGGATGTGGGCCACGGTCGGTGACCTGGGCCGACCCAGGGAACCTGTTCACGGCTGCCGCTGCGGCGCGGCGACGGCCCACTTCTAGCGTTCATCGCTCGCAGCCTGGCCGCTGCTCGGCCGGCTCATGCACAGCTAGTTTCTCCTCCACCGAGAGAGCAGGGCGGTGGATGGAATGCTGAGATCCTGCCGCAGGGTCTCATGTCGGTAAAACGCGTCTTGTGTTGAGAGAATGCCAGTCAAGGTGCTGAGGGTTGGAGAGCGGCAAAAGAACCGTGGAAAGATCGTAGAGCGATGTAAGAGAGGCGAAGAAAGACGGCTGATCATGAAGTTTTTAATAGTATCGGCACGGAGATTGGACATTAGCCGGAAAGCTTTAGAACATCGTTCGGGCAGCTCTGTCGGTATAAGCCGTCGCACTCGACTCGGAGTGCGATCGGGCGCCGGCCGTGGGTCGTCGACCGGTCACCGTTCATCTGACCTCTACCGCGCGCCGCCGACCCGGTCGCCGGCACGGCCAGGTCACGCCTGTCGGAAGTCAGTGCGACGCGTCGCTGGCGGCGGCCCGTGCAGCGGTCCGGTGGACCGGTCGTGCGTACACGCACTTGGCACGTGGGATGGTCGAGCGGTGCCGACGCGACGGCCGCGAGACGTTATCTGATTGGAGATACGGCTGGTGACGCGAGCTGGTGACACTGGTCGGTGCCTGACGCGCCTCGGTGACGAGGTGATGAGGCTGATCGTCATCGGTGACGACTGTTGAGGGTGGCCGTCAGGAGACGTACCACCACGGTGTCTCATGCACCGTGAGATGGAAGAGATGTGTAATCTGCATCCAACCGAGGCGACCATTCGCTCTTCGTAAAAAAGTAAAGAGCAATGCAATAGTAAACTATTTTGCTAATTTTAAATGGATATTTAATGTATTCCAGGATATTGCCACAAACCAATATCAGCAAATGTTCTAAAAAAAAAATGCATTAATAATTCAAATATTGACCGAATTCGGCATCGAGAAAATTAACGTTAACCGATAAATACGCTATTTCACTTCCTGGGCTAGGCCTTGATTGCATTTCTTTATATATCACCCCGTACCATGACTGGAATATCTAACCGCCCTCTTTGCTAAGCAGCTGAATACATAAGCTTTCCCCGATTCATCCCGGACCTATCCACCACCCAAAGGAGCACTCCCTCGCGACATCAGAAAGTCCCTCGGCCAGGGAGCATCGACCTGGGACCGTATGTGGCGCGCGCGCGCGCACCTCTGACCGTTTCTCTGCACCGTGCGGGTTGCAGTGGGACATTTCCATAGCTGCATACCGGTCCGTACTGGCCGCTCGGGCGATACCGCGCTGTGCCGCCGGCGAGTGCTGCCCGGAATCCACTTATATCGGGCCCACGGACCGCTGGCTGGCACCGGCTCTGATCTTAACGTGCCGCCTTGGTAATGAGCCTTACAGAAAGCCGGTCTGTCTCGTATCGTGTTGCAGCGAGACAAAGATGACTGGTGTAGAACAAATATGGCTTACGCTTTTCGTCATCTGTGAAGTAGATGAATGTTTGAGGCGTTGTTTGGAATTCTAAACGAGTTCTTACCGAATTCGATTGTTGGCACACCAAACACCCCAGTGATGTGTTAAAATGTTGCAAAAAAAAAACGGTTATGCAAAGTTATTCGTATGTTACATAACAGAAAGCATTACTGATGCATGAATGACACAAGCAAGCACCAATCCTGAACACGTCACCATCAACCTCTGAGCTCACCTATATGCCACACAACCGCACCTATATCAGAGCTATTTTAGGTTCAATCTACACATGACTAGTAGCCGGACACACTGACTGAGCATGTGTTGGCCAGTGGCAGCCGCCGCCGGCGCTCCTCTATCGTGTACTGTTGGTCTGCACCGTTGCAGGGTCGCCGTGTTCTGCCCGGCCAGGCGGTCAACTCCATCGGCTCCGGAGGCCCCGTCTGTGGAGATGGTGAGTACCAAGTACCCAGTACCCAGAACCCAGTACCCAGTAACGAGTACCGAGTACCTATTGAGAATGGCGGAGTAGTAATCCAACTGGGAAGTAACAAATATTGCATTGCAAAATGGCTGATCAACAAATGAAGGGTTAGGCAAGCAAAAGCATGTTTTTCATACCAAAGATTTGTAACGTCTCTAAATAAGTGTTGTTGCATGATGACTGCTCGTTCTGATGTGCGGGTTATGTGATGCTCCTGGACAGATTTCTAGCTGTGATGGCTTCAAACTGATCATCAAAACCACTTTCGCGCCTGTATCAGTCCATCCATGCCACCCTCAGAATTCCCATGCTCCAGACATTCCCAGACAAGTGCAACCAAGCCTGCCTTCTTCCTCACTTAAAGTGCCGCGTTCCCGCGTACAGTCTCGCTGCGTGTAACAGAAACCTCCATGAGACCGTGATTTCCAGCGCCTCAAGCCGAGTCGTTTTCGCTCGTCACTCCGCCGACGGCTCGACTAAACACGCGAAGAAAGCGCCCCAGACATGGCCGGAGGGCATTTGTCACGCACTTTCCATACGTTCACAACACCGACGGGAGTCTCCGCTCCAAAACTGGGACGGGACAACGCCCACGGTCCGAGCTGAGCTGACGATCGCGGGCGTTTTACGCTCCCGGCGCGTCCAGTGCGGAGACTGCATGGCTGCATAGGAAGCTAACCGCATTCCCCGTGCCGCCCGGCGGCCGGAGACTGCACTGCCAAACAACACACTAACACCAGCTCGCTGCGGTCGGACCCGTCGGGCTGGTCGCGGAGTTGAGGACCCGTGCTGCAGAGCCCCGTCGGCCCACAGCTGTATCTGGCACGGCCTCTTAGAAAGCGGCATCCATCCGGGAGGGCGCTGAGCCGACGGTGGCCGACCCGACCCGACCGGACACACGACAGTCCTGTATGTATTTGGGCAGTCACCCGTCAATCCTTCCTGATATCATCCTCCTTCAAACAAGCTGTTGGATTGCTTTGACAGAGAGCCGTCTAATGAGTCTAAAAGAGTCCAGTCTAACGTTTTGATGGCAGACATCGTTCTGTGTCACATATAGTTAAATAATGCTTTGTAGGAACTGCCGAGGTTCGAGGGCCGCCATGTGACATTGTAACGGCGAGGCGGGTCTGAAGCAGGAAGTGACGGGGTGTGAGGCATATCGGGCGGGGCCGTGAAGAGATGTGTACGTGGATCGATATGCTCGGCGCCTGGCACGAGTCGCTCCCGCTCGCCTTGAGATCCAGCTAGCGACAGTGGCGGTGCATTCAGTTTGCCCTTGCCCCTTGCTTTGTCACCGCTGGGTACTGGGTTGGGTACCGCTTACTCTTCAAGGTTCCGTGCGCAGATACTCATCGGCACATAATGCGAGCGTGGTGACGACTTCAGTAGACGTGCACACTACACAGGCTATCGGGATTCTGTCGACTCGTCACTGAAGCGTCACACGACGCGGGCGGTACGGGCGTGACGCCGCTCCGGTCAGACATCGTGACGTCAGGCATGTCGTCACGTGACGGTCCCACGAGTGTTGCCGCCTGCGGCGTCACGGCGGCATCTGTCCGGCTCTGGGACACCTGTGAGACCAGCTGCAGCTCGCGTGCCAGATGGTCCATGGTGTAACTTTTGTGGCGTAATACTTGTAATTAGCGCCACCCTCCAGCGAAACTGGTCTTGTAATGGGTGTCTTGCGTCGCGCAATCATTGTAATTTTGCGCGCACAAATCCAGCGCAACTCGTTTTACAAATGGGGTTAACGTTTCAGCCATCGCCACTCCCCACGTCTGGACGCTGAAACCCGTTTGAAAGTGCGTCTGATGAATGAGGGGCGTTTCCACATAACACCCAAACCTGGGTGGGTGGACTGTGATGGAGTAAACAGCTGGGCGTCATGCGGAGAGGCACACTCGGAGGGTCAGGGCGCACAGGAGCGGACAGTGAAGGAACAGCTGGCTCGAAGCGCGAGAAAACTGCAGAGTATTGTGCAAGGGTCGGGGGTCGTCGGGTCAACCGGCCGCCGGGGTGGAGAGTCCGACCGGTAAGGAGTGAGATCCCGGCGCCGTGACCTCGTGTGACCCACGGTGACCTCATGTGACCCCATGAGTGGTAGTGGGAAGACGTAGTCTGCAGAACATGCACCAATGTGCAACATCCGAGAGAGAGAGAGAGAGCACAGGGCCGCGAGCGAGACTAGCCTCTGGGAGCGGAGCCGCTGTAAGCCACGACCATGAGAAAGGACTTCAGTGCACCGTTATGGCTCCGCTTAAGCCGTCTTGAGACCGTCTTTTGATGTATTTTCGGCGGTGAGGAGTGATCGCATGACATTCCACCGCCGTAAGATGTTAAATTCTGTTACGATAAAGCAGACATGAAACACGGGTGGGTTTTATGCAAATTGGTAAAATCATATCTACACCGTTTCCGCCTAGCATCACTCAGCTCATGTATTCGAAGCGGATGCACGCTTCTCTTTCGTTTCATCTGAGCTCTGCTAACTTGCATTTCAAGCGACATGCTCCTCCTCATTTCCGAGAATATCTCTTTTTAGGATTAGAGTGACTTATGATATACACGCATTTAGCCTCTACATTTAACCAAGTTGTCTTAATGAGCACTTCCAGTGATTTGTTTACCTCTCACCGTCTCCAAAACCACCACACCGCATCCACACCTGAGTGGTGCTTATCCCCAGCCACTGACAGTCAATCACAGGTGGTGGGACGAGGATCAGCACACACCGCAAACATGGTCCATGTGGGGCCACCGACTGGCTAGCTATTATTGGGAGGGGGTCGCTCTGGTTGGCCTCTCGGACTGGTGCTGAAAAACGTGAACAGCTGTTGGATACTGTTTAGAAACGACTGGTTGTGGTGGTTTGGGTTTTAAGGTACCATAAACGGATAGTTGTAAAATGCTCATTGCTCATACGAGTCGTATGATGAGGAAAACTGTTTGGATGAACTACTGACGGCTTTGTTATGTCGTCATTCATTTCAGTAGTAGCCGCAATGCCTAAAATGTTTCCGATGTTGTTTATCCTGTAAGTGGTCAAAACACTTTGTCATCGGAATGCCAAACGCTCCTGGCCGGGATTAGGGTAGCTCAAAATGGATGACGTAAGCCTTTACTCATCAATATTCTGTCATCCGGCACCAGCAGAGTGGCACGACTTTCACGGTTGATCGGCTGTGCCCACTGCATGGTACGGGCTGCCACGGCGGCCACGGCCGGTCCCAAGACGGAAACGATCCACCAAAGAGCCACCCGAGGCCAACTGGTCTGAGAGTCCACCTGACCTCCGTGCCGGGATGACCCCTACAGAATCCGGGACCGGGCCGAGCTGCAAATGCGCAGAACGCGCTCTGGCGCACTAAGAATGTCGCGTTTTTTTGTGGTAGAGGAATTCATGAAACCACAGTCTCCCGGAGGATGTCATCTGAGACGCTGCAGTTCACGGCACGACGCCTTTAGAATGGTTTGAGATTGCCGCCTTTTGGGATTCTCTCAGACACTCTTTGTCCTGATGTTTGAATTCAAGAGCAGGAACGAGGACAGCATCAATAAGTTCTATCAGAGGTGTCACATTCACAATGGAGACACGCCTAGTGTGACAAGTTCAAGATCACTGGTGATATATGGCTAGTTGCGACCCATTGTGGCAGGCGTCCAGGAACTGAGTCTGATGTCATTTTATGGAAACCCCTGCGTTGTGTCGTGAGAGTCACAATGCGTGATTATACTGAAAGGTTTAACCTTGTCATTTATCCGGCGATCTATCAAGTGAGAGCATCTTGACTTATGACGGGATAAGGGCGTGGCGTAACGTTTCAGAGCCGGAACCTGGATACCATACCTATTAGGCACGCCCAATACAATTCATTTAAGTGGAGTAGTACAAAGTTAGGAGCACAAAGTTTTTGGTTGCCTAATGGTTTGCCCTTTTATCTAAAAAAAAAAATATGAAAGTATTTAAATAAAGTGTAAAAACACCGTCAAACCCTTTTCAGTATAATAAATGATATGTTCCTCAGAGACATGTTTTGTCATATGAATTTTAAGCATACGAGAAAAATGTTGATCACGTGATACAATCTAGAATGTTGGCACAGTTTTTTACGTGCCTTCCAATAAAATGCCGAGCACGTATACTAAAACGGGATTGTAAAATGGGGCATTGCAGTAACCTGTTGTAGCCTGATCAGTAAAAATTCCACGTCAATGCCTGTCATCAATGATCTCAGATTGATCTTATCCCCGGAGCATGTCGCAAAAATATCCGACCACAGCCAGTCCACCTGTTAGAAAGCCGTCCTACAACATAAACTTCTCTCAACACGTCGCCAGTTGACCACCACCCTCACATCGCCGCCGCGGTGTGCCCTGATTCTTCCCATCGATAGCGTTCATCGCTGCTCGGCACGGACCGCCGAGCTCGAGCGCCGTCAGCGCGCGCCACCATTACCGAGAATAGAGGCCACCACCTCGGGCGGGGTGTAATTTGGGCGCGTTTTCACCAGTTCCGCGCGCTTTTCTATCTCAGCCGGCGGCGGCGGGCGGTGCCGACGGCTTCCGGACGCGGCCGCCGATGGAAAGCAGCGGCGGAACGGCGCCGGATTCCGCCCCGACGACACCGCTCCGGCCGCCACACCGTGAGAGATCGCGCGCAGAGATCGTGTTTCAGTGACAAAAGCCACGCGCCGCCAATCAAAAAGGTCGCACGCTCTGCTCGGGCCCGTCTCAGCGGTGACTCGGCAGCAGCTAATGGACTCTGGGTGACTGAGAGAGAGACTCGCTCGACCGATCGCCGGTCACTGGGCCATCGGAGGCCTCGGGCGATCGTTGTCAGGTCGCTGACCCGTCGGCGGCTCATGTCGTCGTCTCGCTGGGGTCAGAGGGCGTGAGACGCGTGACCGGTCTGAGCACGGGTGAGCACGCCGCTGCCGCCGGCCGGCATACCGTGTCGGAAGCGT